GCCCCAGTGCCTGCTGGGCTGGCAGCCCACTGCTAAGCGAGCAGCATTTCCAGGGCAATGGCTATGGGCAGTTGCATCTCAGTGTAGGGTCAGTTAAAAGGCACACAGCAGAATGTTTTGAAATGGACATCTGGCATGCAGTAAATGCATTTAGGAAGCAATAAACAGCTCATTTTGAATGACTTCTGCAATTGGTTTCAACACAAGCAGTTGGTGGGAAAACAAGCTTTGAGAAAGGTCATTTATTTCCATACATAACCCATCTCTTCCAGTTAAATTGCTTAGCAATGTACAAAGCAAATCCCAGCCCATTTCTGGTCTGATAATTAATAGAATCTTCTACTCTAGCTGGAGCTGCACAAAGAAAGTGAATGTTGCCCTTGTTATTCTGACTTAATAATTCACCATTTGAGTTGTCAGGTTGTCTTTGAAAGAAGCTGATTGTTGAAATCTGAGTGCAGTAGATGTGAAATATTGTATATTGTATCTTCAAGATGAACATGGAATTCACGTGCTTTTAGTCAGTAATAGATTACTGGCAGCCCTTGGAAAAGAAGAAGGTATCTTTGATCGTAAGACATAACGCTGCACTTTTCTTGCTGATGTTCTGTTCAAAGATTATAAATAAAATATGAATACTAAAGAATTAAATTTTCTAACCCTTACTAGAGCAAAGGTATTCTCCTCCCCTTATTTATAAATTGATGCAATAAATGAGCAGCATGAGCATTGCTAATGTAGGCTTCCAGTGAAAAATAAAAGGATTGGATTTCTAAACCGGCCAGAAAATTGACACTGATACACTGCAATTATACTGAGGAAGGCTGTTAGTTCCCAAAATAAGTAAATATATTGGCGTTAGTAAGCTGTGACTTCTAGAGAACATTGATTCCACATGCTCCATATTCAAAACTGATCATCTTTACTCCTGAAAATCAATATATTCAGTTTGATTTAGATATATCAAACCTGTACTTACATAATTGAGTGCAAGTAAATCGCATTTCAAATTGCACACCAAAATTGCACTGCCCCAGGACAGATTATTCTGATTTTTTTTGTGCTTGTAAAGTTGTCATGAAGAGAGTTCAGTGATATGTTTCAGATTATTATTGTATTAACGTGAAACATGATGGTGTCAGCAGCTCATCATGAATCTATTCCATGGTGAATAAAAACAGCAAAAAGGGAAGTGAATTTTGGAAAAGTTTCATATTGTTTAGGGAGAAAACATAGTGTGCAGTCTTGACTGGGCCTGACTCAGAAAGAATAATTTCATTTTGCCAAAAATACTAATATTTAATATTTTTTCCCATTTTGTAGAGCAAGACTAGGAGATTTCAACATTATGAACAAAAAGTCAGGAGAGCAGTGTTGTATCATCATGGCAGCAGCTTGGTCCTTCCTCCTTCTGGTATAAGGACGGTGGAGCGTTCCCGTCTAGCCTGGCCCAGCAGCCAGTCAGTGCCTGCCATGCTCCAGCTGAGTTTGTGCTCAGCAAGGCCACTGGTCCCTCCAACCTGGGCATCTGAGAGGACTGCCCTGTGCTAATTCTAGGGTGGTATTTGCTGTGAAGTGGTATCACATTGGATGATGTACCTTTGTAGTGGTGAGCAGAAATATGAAGACAGAAGCTAATTTATGTCTGTGCCCTTCCCACATTCCCCAAATTGCAGGAGACTTCTGCTGAAGGCACCAGTGAGAAGGTGGTTAAAAGTGATCTTAAATGGTCATAATTAGGACTGTAACTTAATAAGTTATTGAACCCAGGAATTCTAGCTGTATTTCTTCAGTCAGACATTCACTCAGGCTGGCACTTCAGACCACGGTTCAACAGGGCCACAGCTACCACCCCTGGCCTGCTAAGCCAGGTAGGTCAGGGTAGGACTGTAAAACAGAGACACCACCTCTGCTTCAGAAGTCCTGAGAGTCTCACATTGCTAGGAGATGGGAAAACACACTGCACATGCATGTCTCTGTGGTAGTCAGGGCTTCATGGTCCTTTTGGCCCTTTTGGTTGGTGGTGGGGCACAGCACTAGCTGGACCTGCTTGCTGTCTGATCTACAAAGGTTCTTGAGTACCTCCCTGGCAGACATATCTCTAAGAGTATCCAGCTCTGGACAGAGATATGAACCTATCATCAGAGCATTTAATTTTCTGATTAAGCTCTCAAGGGTTTCAGTGTGCCAACAATAATATTTATCCCAGCACAGATCAAACAGTGGTGTGCATACAAACAAGTTATCTCCTTTCTCCTTGCTAATGCCTTAACACCACATCTTCATCCTTTAATAATCATAGCCTGCCACACAGACTGATGAGACACAAAGTTGAGATGGAGCATCCACGGCAAACCCCTTGCAAAGCATTAGAGCTGTTCAGGAGCAGTGTCCACACTGCCAAGTCCACACTGCCAAGGAGGGGAAGGTCACTGTCTTGTTGAAAAAGTTAAGCATTTCACTGAACACAGAGACTGGAGAGCTGTGCATGACATGCTGGCACCTTTTTCACACCTAGCTGAAAGTTTATATGCATTGAATCATCCTGCACTTTTCCCACTTAGAGGAGGATCAGGTTGGGTTGAATACCTTTCAGACTGAAGCCACTCTAAGCAGAATGGATATTTCTGACTGTGGCTTAAGATTGCTCTTTCTTGCTAAAGCAAAATTTGAAATATTGTGAGTCCACTAATTAAATAAGGGCACAGTTAAAGATCACAATTGGCCACTCCAGCACTTTTGAAATTTTATGATACTTAAATTATTTAGGTGCACAACAGTTTTGGTTGAACATAAAATAAATTATATTAAAAATGCTTATATAAAATTGAGCAATATTAGAGCTTAATTGTAATAGAAACTATAGAACAAAATATTTGTAAAATAACAGTGTGTATTTTTATAGGACAATTTTGTATCTTGCAGCCCATTGTTTGTGAGAGCAGCATCTTGATTCCAGAACTTGGTTTCCAATGCTTTCAAAAGACTCTTTGTAACTGGGGAATTTGGAGGGGGGGAATGTGGAGGCTGGCTGACTTTTGTTCTTATTTGGGGAGGGACTACATATATACAAATATACATATATGTGTGTATACAAACAGGTTGTATTCAATTTCCAGATATAAATATCAGCCTAAGGTACTAATAGATCAAATTATCTGAAGAAGTTATCAGCATTGTGATGATTCTGTGCCAAACACTTTCTTGACACCACAAAGGTTTCAGAAAGCATTTTGGTTGGAGAAATGCCTGATTGTACAGACACTTGAGGAAATGGATGCAGGTAAGCCAGATCTGCATAGATCTGCTAAGTACAGTAGGTGAAGGAAATTGAGGTGGAGTCCTTGCACAGCAGGTTCTCACACTAATTACAAAACAGAAAAAATGGGTGTGAGAACAGCTGACCTTTGAAAAAAGCAACTCTGTTTCTTCTACTCTGTTAATTCATCCATAGTTATGACTCCTCTATATCTTAGAAATAAATATCAATTTTATGCTTAAAAAATAAACATCTTGTTACTTTGGCTCTCCTAGGCACTGCTGTTGCTTAATCATATCTTAGCACCAAAACAGCTAATAATCTTTTATTAAAAAAAAACAAACAAAAAAACCCCAAAAAAACCAAAACAGGCTTTTAAAATCCACCTTGATAATTTCCTCCAGAAAACTTCAAGAATGGAGTCAAGGAGGCACCTAGCTGTTATCAGAGCTACAACCAGCCTAAATTCACTATCTGCACATGACAAACACATGCAGAAATAAATATCTTCTTCAGACTGGGATGTGTTGCCCACACCTCAGCCATCTTCCTCAGCAAGAAAGTGGGGGAGAAAATCTTACAGACCTGACATGAGGGATAGTGTAAAATAATAGGTCTGAACTGACTTCAGAAAGAAAACCAAGGTACATGGTTGTATTCATACGCCTTCTAAATTGTCAAGCTTCAATTTTTTATAAGCACTCTAAGCAAAGAATGAACTTAGAACAAACTTTCGGCATTAAAGATGAGCCTGCAGGGACACACAATTCAACAAGAAGCAAAGCTCATAGAAAGAGGGCTTTGTTCTCAGTCCAATCCACACAAAGCTGTCTTCCCTCAAGAAACAAAGCTCCGCAAGGAACTGATCCCTGATTTCACTCTGACTCCCTGGGCAGATGTCACAGTGGTCAACATACTGAAAGTGGCTCAGTGTGCAACAAGTGAACTAAGGATGCATCAGGAATGTGAGAAAGGACAGTAACAGTCATACTGTAATTCTAGTTAATGATTTGATGGTACTCACTGGTGTTCTATAAGTTTAAATCCTACATCATGTCAATAGCCCCGGGTGACTTGCTCATTATCCTGTGGAAGGACACTCAGACATGCTTGGCACACATAGACAAGGCTTGGGATGCTTCTGGCCCATGGCAGATATCCTTAATATGAGCTACCAGTGTCTCAAACCAAGTATTTGACTCTCATTTATAACCAAAGAATAAAAATGAGCCTCTTTACCATTGAATCTAATAAAAAAGAAAAAAAAAATAGGTGTAGCATTAATCAGACAAGGTATATAAAAGGAGACAAGTGATATTAGCTCAGATATTTTGGCTCCTTGAGGCAGACCCAATGATTCTCCCCATCAGTGTCTGGGTGCCTGGGTTTCGCAAGAGCACCAGATCCAGCACATCTACTCACTACAGAATTAACTCATGTGGAGGGCAATCACCTGGCTACACAGGGCAGAAGCTGTGGTCAGTCTTAATATACATACATGTTGGGAACTATGAGCAATGAGACCATTTAAAGCCTAGAGAACTGGGGCCTAATGATGGAGCAGTTTATCAGAAATCCCTCTCCCCATATCCTCAGCACTAACCTTTGAACCCACCAGTCAGGCACAACTGGGTAGTGTGTGGCCACTCTCAGCAGCAGCTATCCTGTGAGCTTTGGTGTTTTAATGAATTAAGACACTGTTTTAAATATTGCTCCTGCTGTCAATGCAGTCTCAAAACACTTTTTTTTTTTTTTTTTTTTTTTTTTTTTTTTAATGAGGCATTCTCATTTCTCTTACTTGAAAGCACTTTTTTCCCCCTTTAACTGATGTCAGAGCTCACAGAGGGATTGCTCTGTTCTTCCTTTGGTCTTCAGGAAGGGCACAGAAACAGTGGGTCTTCAGTTTCTCTGCTGAGTTTCTGGAGGAAAGACAGAGGAAAGGAGAGGAGAAGCAGAGAGCAGAGTAATTAAAATTAACTGCAGGCATATAGGATTAATGTTATTTGTATAATAGCATTTAACCAACAGCAGCATCCTCATAACAATAGGTGGTTTGAGGGAATGTTTTGGCAAATGGAAGGAGCTGCTTTTGGTGGATAATAACGTGCTTTTGCAAAAGGCTCTTTTCATTATTCATGTTTTAGAACTGTAAAAATAACAATAAGGGGGGAAAAATAGCTCCTGGGTACAAATATCAGACTGCAACTGAACCTAGACAGCACCTTTATGAATATTACAAGGACATTGACATCACTGTTGTGTTTTCTGCATAACAGTCTTCAAATTGCTATTAGGAGTACAGGAAACTAGCTGCAAGCCTTCTTTCTCTATCTGTATCTGACTATAATACCTAGACCTAATAAAAATCATCAAAGTAGTTTTTCAAATGCAGATATTTTGGCAGAATTATCTTTCTGAACTACATTTTCCAATAAAAAATGCAAGCAAACTGAAATTGCCCCAAACATTTTTTCCAAAGGCTAGAGAAACAGGCAGCTTTTATTCTAAGTGCTTGCCCTACTGCTCCTCTGCAGCCAACAGGAAATCAGGTCTGTGAGGGTCACATCCTTATGTTATTTTTCTATAGCCATCTAATGATTTGTTCAAGTCAATTTTCCATGCTGGTCCTGGGGGACATTAGAAATGTTCTGATACACAAGCTGTGGCTCCCGTCTTAGAGAGACATGTGTGATTTGCTAAATTTAACCGCCTCCAAGACTTGCTGGCTCCAATGGCATTATTCATTTGAGTAGAATATTCACTAGTGTCATGATTTAGCCAGACAGGCTAAATATTACCCAGATATTCACTCACTCCTCTTCAGTGGGATGGGGAAGAGAATCAGAAAAAGGGTAAAATTTTGGGTTGAGATAGCGACAGTTTAATTGCACAGAAAATAAAAGGAAAGTAATCATGGTAGAGTACACAAAACAAGTGATGAGAAATGCAATTCTTCACCAGCCACTGACCAGTCCCTGAGCAAGGTGCCACCATCCCCAGCCAATTCCATCCAGTTTTGTTGTTCAGCATGATGCCATGTGGTAAGGAATATCCCTCTGGTCAGTCAGGGTCATCTGTCCTGGTTGTATCCTCTTCCAGTTCCTCGTGCATCCCCAGACTCCTCACTGGCAGCATGAGAAGCTGAGAAATCCTTTGTCTTAGTGCAAGTCCTGCTCAGCAACAACCAAAATGTTGGTGTGTCATCAAACTTTTGCTCACCCTAAATCCAAAGCACAGCCCTATTCCAGCATGCTTTTAAAATCTTATGATGTTCTGATTTAACAGAAACCCACATGAGGCAAGGTTCTTCATTACACTTCTGAACTTAGGATTGTACCCAGATGAAAAAGAAGCACAAATATAATCACATTAGACAATTACATGGTGTCTGGAACAGGAACAAGAGGGTTAAAATAAAATAACACCTTCACAGAAGCAAGCAGCATAGTTTCATTTCTTCTGCTGTGTACAATATTGACCATTCTGATTGAAGGCAGAATTTCCAGCTGATTTTGCTGGCAGCAGCAGATGTGTTTTGGGGGCGTAGTTGGTTCACTTCACCATCTTTCAGGAAGAAACTACAGATTTCAGAGGTTAGAATTAATGAAGTTGTTGGAAGTAACACAGGTCTGTAACATCCTAAACTCCTTCAGCTCTTGGTTTCACCTTCTCTTCCAGCCTACAAATGCATGGATCATCTCAACACTGATAATATTTTTCATTAAGAATTCACTCCAACAGTCACAAGAATGACTTCTCAGTTTTCAGCTATATGGGATGATGGCACTTTAGGCAAGACTTGGTTCTACTTAATATTTCTATTAGAAGTTATGATCACAGTGATTTTAGAGAAGAATTTTTTTTCTATTTAGATGTTTTAGAAGGGGGATTTGTAATAATATTCTTTTTAAAGTATTATTTTCTTTCAGTGTAAATGAAAATGGATTAATTATTTTCTCTGTAGATTTCATAATTATTGCTTGTTTCATCATCCACAGGTGTGTACAGTTATTGATGTCTTTCTTTCCTTGCAATAAGCTTGTATGATGACATGAATAAATTAAAATTTATTCTGCAAGAGAAGTAAGTAACGCCCTGCTAAGAGTTTTTTATTGTTGGTAAATTTGCTGTTGTGACTGTTTCTAAAAAATAGATGCAGTATTATTTGCAAGCTCATCTAAATGCCAGACAATATTGATTTTATTTAGAAGATTGCTTGTTTTCTGGTATTAAGCAAGTAGATCTGTGGGCTTTTTGAATATTTTAATTGTATATGATAGGTTATATTTTCTGTATTTATTGTCTATCAGTTTAGTGTTGATGGAACACTAATGGTATACCAAATTTTTGATGAAATTTTCTCTAAAACCCTAATTTGGAATTCAGATGTGTCTTAAGAACAACATAGTTATACAACTATCTAAAAGGATCTGGCTTAAATGGATAATGGAAATCTGCTCCTCACCCAGTTTTTATTGACACTGGGGGGTTGTCCCACCAAAGGTTCAGAACCATGCACTGAGCTTTGTTGGTCATATTCAGGTTTGCATGGGCACTCTCCTCAAGCCAATTATGGACCCTTTGGATGGCATCCCTTCCCTCTAGCAAATCAGCTGCACCACTCAGCCTGGGGTCATCTGCAACCTCACTGAAGGTGCACTCGTCCCCCTGTCTATGTAGCTGATGAGGAGGTCAAGTAGCAATGGTCCCAGTATGGACTTTTGAGAAGCATCCCCTTCATTGCTGTTTTTCACTTGGACACTGAGCCACTGACTGTCACTCATTATCCATCTAAAAATCCACCTATCCAACTCAAATCTCTCTAGTTTAGAGGCAAGAATGTTGTGGGGGACTCTATCAGGCCCTACAGAAGTGTAGATGCCATCCCTCGTCCGCTGACACAGGCACTCCAGCACAGGATAGGCCAACAGATTAGTCAGGACTTCTGCACTCTAAGATGGGCCTAGGACTTTTCATGTCTGTGAAAACATGAGGATATCCCAGTAATATGTGGCAGACTCTCCTATTCTACTTTATAAAATTGGAGGAGCGAGTAAAAAGTTCACATGGTGGAGTATGAGAAATGGTTGTAGGGGACTCCTACAAAAGGACTATGCTGACCTTAGCAAGATGAATGAAAAGACAAGTTAAATGTTTATTCTGGTTTGATTTACTTTTCCTCTGTGCTTTAAAGGTTCCTAAAAAAAAAAAATAATAATGGAGTGTTATAGAAAAAGATCATTACATAAGCAAAAGTAGAGTGCTAATTCTATGTGTCAGCTCCATTCTGGCACTGCATAACTCCTGTATATTTGGTATTTTTGCAATTGTGAGATTGTATTGCAACTTTCTGTACTTAATTCTATATGGTATGTTAAGAATTCAGTTAATATGCTCTGCAGAACATGACTTAACTAAGAGTAGCTGGTTTAAAACCTGAAATTCAAAACTTCATCATACCTGGAATAATTATGACAGGAGGGATAAAGACACACCTTGGACACCAATATAGCATTTCAGTTTTCCAGCTCCTGCTCAAAAGCTCTCTTCAGGGTTTTCAGTTTAGATAGTCATGTAAATACCTTCATTTAAAAACACAGGGTATATGTCACTGGAAGAAACTGATTTCTTGCTTTAACTGAGTGTGTTTGTCTTTTTGTTTGTTTGTATGTTTGGGGCTTTTTTGTTGTAAAATCAAACTGTGGCAGACACCTGACAGGGAAAATTTTAATTGCAAACAGACAAAGTCATAAAATTTAAGGAACTTAAGCTTTTCTATCAACATATGGGACTGACAGTAGGCATCACAACATAACTCATAGTACATAGGCAAGTGACCTTTCAGTTAATTAAAAAAGGCTAAGCTTCAAAACCAACAAATGTATTTTAAATTATAAATTGTGGAATTAGACTGGGTAAGACATCACCACAGGGAATTGTTAAAAGTCAAATTCAGGTAAAATTCAGAAAAAAATTTATATTCTGATTCCACTAACAAGGCTGCTCAAAATTAATTACAGTGTCCTTTCTTTTTAAATCAGGGACAGTAAGATTCAGGGATGGGGTCTAATATCTACCATATTTTACACTTGTCTTTCTGTATAATTTTTTCTACTGATGACAGGAAAAAAGGCTGGTGGCATCTCTTCCCTTACAGTAATTGTCCTGCTGTGTAAAGTACTGCTCAAGATAAATAAAGTCAGTAAAATACAAATGTGCTCTGTCCCTGAACTTTGAAGAAACCAGAATTGCTAGTTCCCCTAACATGCATTCAAATATTGTTCTGGGAACAGTTGCATTTATTTACCATATTTTTGAGAGCTTTAGTCATTGCTTCTTATTTTACTTAGAGAGTTTAGTCTTATAAATATTAAGAACTTGTACATATCTACTAATGTAGAAATACTAATTTTATATTAAAAACCATAATCCAATGGATAAATCTGAAAAATAATGAAGAATGTATTGAGCTTTTCTGCAAAAGAATTACTGTTTGTCACCATGTCTGGTATGAGGCTGTGGTTTGGATTTGTACTGAAAGCAGTGCTGGTAGTTACAGATAGTTACAGCCAGATTTAGTTACTGGGAGCAGCGCTTGCACAGCCAAGGTATTTTCTGCTCGTTACCCTTCCTGAGCAGGTGTAGGCTGGAGGTGCAGAGGAGACTGAGTGGGGACACAGCTGTGGCAGCTGTCCCCAGCTGGCTGAAGCATTTGTCTTCACTAGTCACCACTATGGATGACAAAGCCCTGCTGTCCTGGAGGTGACTGGCTACCTCCCTGCTTGATGTGAAGTACTGCATTAATTCCTTATCTGCTTTGCTGGTGTGCTTGACTTTTGCCTTACCTACTGAACTTCCTCTATCTCAGCTCACCATTTTTCAGGTAAAAGTGAGTGAGCAGCTTGGTGGTGCTAAGCTATCACCTGGGGTTAAACCACACTAGACCAGAACATTAATTCCTGCTCTTCTGCACTTTGTGAGAACACTGGCTCCAAACTGTGCAGCTGTTGCAGTAAGAAATTTGTGAAACTACTTCTCAAACCCTAGCTTCATTAATTACTTTTTAAAAATGGTCTGAATCTTTAAATTTATATCATGAAATGATGGAGGATTATTAAAGATGTTTAAGTACAGACCAGTTGTGTGACTTGGAGGGTGTGTATGTGTCTGTGTGTATGTGCTGCATGATCTATCTTCAGGCACAAGTGCCATTGGTTATCCAGCCCTGAGGAGAGAAACCTACCCTGTAGGTATTTCTCAAGGAAAGGTGAAAAACTTCCTTGGAAATGAAGCACAGACTCACACAAAAATACTCAGAATGTGTTAAGAAATCACATTATGTTAAAGAATGCTGATTTGGACTTAGAGGTTTGGTTTTGGTTTTTTAAATTTATTTTTGTGTTTTACTAAGAGAACTTTAAAGAACAACAGAAGAAATTAATGCTCTCCTGAAGAGAAACCTAACTATTACAGATCTGGAGAATTCCAGTAAAACATTCTTTATCCTCTTCACTCTAAATGCAATTCCTTACCCAAGGAGATTTACTCCTTCTTGCAGTCACACACAGTCATTCCCAATATGATTTCTGTTTGGCCTCTGTAGTAATAGTAACAACCATAATTACATTGTGCCTTCTGACCCCAGTTTAACATAACACATTTCAGTTCACATACTAAGTAAAATGTTTAATCATGAGTGTGCTGAGGGAGGAGCAGGTGTTCTCAATATCTCACCTCCAAATGCTTGCCCTTTGGCTGGTTTCCTCTTACACACCCATTTATTATAAAGCTGATGGAACTTGCTGCTCCTGCCTCTCTGAACTGCTTAAGTAGCACCTCCGGCATCAGCATTATTAAAAAATAAAATCAAATGTGAAAGAAATAGGGCAACTGGATGGTCATAAGGACTTGGTGCTTTTTAGAATACACAGCTCCTTAGGTATGTCCTTATGTTTAATGATTGGCATTTGGTACCTGCAAGTATATAATCACCTAAGCTCATGTCATTACTTGGTTTAACAGCTAATGCTTAAATCATGGTTCCTGATGGATTGACAAGAGAATGTTTTTCCCTTCCAAATAATAAAAAGGAGAGGGATGCAGGTTCCCTTTTTTTTTTTTTTGTTTTTTTTTTTTTTTTTTTTCCTGAGGGCTTTTAAAGAAAGGCTGCTACGTTCCTGAGCCTGCAAGGGCTAGTCAAGGGATTTCATGTAATAATGTGAGAAATGTACTTGATGGAGATCTTGTGTCATTCTGTGCAGAAAGATAAAGCAAAGATCACTTTCATTTTAGCAGAGAAGAACTATTCAGTGCAAAATCAAGCTGGATTCTCATTCTGCATCTCTGAGGCTCAAAATAATTAAAATGAAGTCCTTGAAAACTTATT